CAATGCTCAATGTCGACCAACCAATGACAACTCAACAAGGCAGCTTTCCACCTTCAGTATTCTGCTTTGCAAAACTCACGGTACTCGGCCGGAAAGAATTGCTCAATGATCAAGCCTAGGTGCGAACTGAAGAATGTAATTTGCTTACGCGACTGAGGACTCAAATTGAAAAGGAACAACTGTGCCGCAACCTCCTGAATGTAGTGTTCAAGAGTCCTCAAGCGATTCCATCTTCCCTTCCACTGAATCTCTGTGATGTTCCCGCGCTGCAAGTATTCAAAGGTGGCGCCAGAGCCCCTTAATGTGCCAGGGGTGGCGCCACCCTCCGCTTGGCGCCGTGGAATTTGTAATCGGTCAAGCAAACTATTCCACTGTCTTCGAAAAACCGCCACCGACGCGGGGTAAAGTTTTTCATCAAGTCCTAAGGACCCAAACAAGCACCAGGCAAGAAAAATCAACGAACGGTCGTCAACACGCACATGCTGTTTTCTGGCAAACCTTGCAGTCTTGGGGTTCTTTACGAAGATGTACAATGCAGAACCTTCCATCAATGAATCCGAAGGGAATACGAGATCCCTCCGGGTCAGTGTCAAGAACTCGTTCGGGTGGAGCATCCCCCCGAACCCCAATGCAATGATGCCCGAAAAGGTCCACCAGCGCCACAACAAACCTAGAGCCAGCATCGCTTTAAGGACAGGTGCTGACAGAACGGCCCGGCATCTGCCAGGCTCCTCAAGCTGCCATTTCCTGTCAACCTGCCAAGCCCCGCTCAGAAAGTTGCGAAATTCAGGCCTCAGCTGTTGAATTGAAGTGATGGCGTAAACAAGCCAGTACCTGGGAGCACCTTGACGAAACAAGTGTAGGCCATAGGCCTTCAGCGCCATGTTGGCAGTCTCTGCAGTCTGAAGCACATCTTGCAGGCTCAGGCCCGCTTCCGACTTGCACCAACTTTCGAAGGCGCCCAAACACTTCTCCATTCGACTGAAAGTAGCAGGTGCGAACCCGCTCAACATATTCAACTCGCCTCGAGGTTGCAGAGGCCTCACTGGCCCTGGGTTTCGTTCAATGTCCCCTGCAAGGAGGAGCAACAACCGAAACCACCTGCCTAGAGGTCGAATCCAGGTAGATGACTCAACCATCAAATCAAACAGCTCATGGTCCCCATTGATCAACCGGTTCAACCACAAAGGGACGGGTCTCGAAGCTGGAGGAACTTCACTGTCCCTCGAAGGGCCATCGGCCCTGTTCCAACCAGATCGGCAGTGCAAGGTCCCTGGATAAAGCCCGCTCCCCAAGGTGTAGCACAATGACCCTCTAAGGATGCGACTCAATGCTTTACTGCTAGAACGACCTTTTGCAACAGCCCCCATCGTAACCCTGCTGTCCAACAATGCGACCAGTCTGCTATTCACATGTGCCTTTGAACAATGCTTCAACCAACTCTTGAAAGTTCGACACTCAAGGCAGTTAATGTGTCCAAGTTTTGAGAACTTGTAACGGAACAGTTCCTTAAATGTCAAAGATTCACAAACATCTTCAACCCACTCCGGATCGTCGAACCAGTCCCGCAAACCAGAGTCCTCTTCAGCCGCTTCACACGGCTGCGAAGGCACGGAAAGACCTCTCAAGCCTGCTCCAAACTGCTCAGCCGCTGCTCGGTGTGCCTTGCGGCTTCCTGCGGCCATCGTGCGGCAAAGGGGAAGCGGATAGCTAGCTGAGAATGCACTTACCGCCTCACCCGGTCTAGGCAGCCTCCCATAAACTCCAATTGCATCGGGACGACAACGGCGATCGAAATCGGGGATTGAAGCTCGAGTGAAAGTTCCTTCGATCGTGAAATGATTGCGAGAGTAAGCACAGTTGCACTTTCCTGAGAGGGCTTCATACCAGGGTTTGTTGTGAAGCCATTGGCTGGCCTTTTGAAAAGCCGTTCCAAAACTACAAAAGCAAAACCGTGTGATTCTGCAGCCCAGTTCTAGAAGCTTCTTAAACGCATGCAGCCTGAACATAACCGAAGATCCAGGTTGTTCACATGAAACAAAACACCCACTGCTGACGGCGAGTGTAAGAAGGAAGGCAGTCCGGATAGCTAACAGGGTTTGACTCTTCGTGACCGAGTCGTTTGGATTGAACCCAGCTGGAAACTCCTTTGACCGTAGTCTGGGACGACGCAACGTTCCAAAGGACCAGCAAGGAGGGGCAGCATGCCACTCCCTAACTGATCCCTGAGCGGCCAGAGTTGCCAGCACTCTGAAGGTCTCATCATCAAACAAATCTCCAAACCCTTTTCCTGTAGCTGTCTTCTCAATACCCGGATGCACACGGAGTCCTGCTGCTTGGTGGCAAGTGCTCCAATTGCCTTGCCCCGAGAAGAGCTCAATGCAATCAAACACTATGGTGTGGTCATGCAACTGCCTAGAAAACTTCAAAGGAAGTGACTGCCTTGCTTGCAAACAATGTTGCTCCGGCTCCCCAAATTGCTCAAGGTGCTCAAACCCTAGTTCTCGCAACATCAAGCCAGGACCTTGTTGAAGCTTTGTGTAATACCCCCGCTGCTCTGAGCGCCTCCAGAACTCGTCCGCCGCATGGGATGGGAAGTCGGTACGACAGATTCCCGCTCCGGTAGGTGAAGCGTCCATCATGTACAGACATGGTGTAGCTGAAGTGCGCATGTTTGTTTGCAAAGCTGGGGCGATCAAACACAAAGTTAGCAACTCGTTTCTGCTGGCTCGGGAGAGTTTGAACACTGCATCTTCGTGAAGTCCTTCACCTTCATGGTAAAGAGCATCAACAACTGAAAAAGCTGGGCGCCTAAACAATAGAATGTGTGTCCAGCAGCCTAAAAGTCCTTGAATGATCTTCCTTGTTGCTTGACCTTTCTGAACCAAAACAATTGTGATGAAGCTCAAAAGTGCAATCCGCGCCCGTGGAGCACTGACACGGCCACGGACGCCGTCAACCTCTGCACCTAAAACCACCGCATTTGTGGCCCGCCGTTGACGTTTTCCGGGATGGGCCGTCAAGCCAACATCTTGATAAGCTGCATTGGCAGCCTCAAACACTTCGATGTCCCGGTTGAATGAAGGGTCTGATGAATTGTCAAGATGTTTCTTCTGAAGACCGATATGGTCGTCGATCGTGAGCAGCTCATAAAATGGTCCCCTTGGTATAGGTGCACGATACTGTAAACATTCCCCATCTAACATGCAGGAAGCTCTGGTCTTCAAGAGGTTAATGTGGCTCTGTTGAGCAACCTCTACAGCTAGTGCATCGCCCATGGCCATTGTACCCAAACACACAAAAAGAGCACCTCGATGGATTCGGCTATCGAAACACTGCAAATGCGAAACCTCTGAAGCGTCAAACCGAATACCCACTGCATTGCGTTTTGCACGTTTCTCTGAAACAACAAAGGTATAGTAAAACTCGCATAGGTCATCTGAAGAAATCATCAATTGTTCCCGGGGGGCAAGTGAAATCATCGAGATGAGGTAACCAGGTGCAATAGTCCTTGTGAAGTTTGAATACGCAAATGACCTTGAATTCACAACCGTGGGGTTGAGGATCAACCTGTCGTACTGCTCATCTTTCGGAACAGCAAACATTCCAACTGCTTCAATATCAGGAACCGAACTGCATTGTACCAACCGACATGCTCCTAACTGATCCCACTTCTCTGCAAGTGCCAACACCTCTGCTCTCGAAGCGTGAACTTTTGCTTTAGGAAGTCGAGGCCAGTCTGTAGGCGGTTTCCTCAAAAAATCTGGGTCCTCAAACGCTTGCCTGACCACCGGATCACTAAGATAGGGCCTTGGGTCGAAGCTGGGCTTGAGTTTCCACTTGATTCGAGAAGCCACAACGGGCTTAGCCGAGCAAGCGTTCGAGGGCACTTTCAAAGTGGGGTCACGAGGGCAAGGAGCACCAAGGTCTCTCCCAGTCGGGCCGGAAGCTTGCTGACTACTAGAGCTTCGTTCATGTCTGTTTCGAGTTCGTGAATACGAATCAAAGGACTTCTGAATATTACTTAAAAAACTGCTGATGTCATCAAAATCGAACGCTTCAGAAACACCAGGTAACGAAAAAGCAATTGCACTTAATTTCTTCAACTTTTCGCCAGCCCTACCTAGGGAGTCCAAGGTGATCTCGCCGACCCCCAGGTAGTAGTCAACTAAGTCTTCAAGCCTCTCCATCAACTCCAGTTGGCCGGGTGTGTATGGATACCCAGCCCTGGCGTAGTCAGGAGGTGTGCTGCACTGCCCCAACGCTAACCAGTTCAAGGCCAGAATCAGATGCTGTGTACACAGAGCTCGGACTTTTAGGCGGCGTAGCCGACGCCGCCTCTTTGGTGATAATGTCGAAGAGGTGCCCGTCCATCGACCCCAACGAGGAGGGGGACAGGGCCATAGGTCTGACCTCCGGGAGAGTGCCGGAAGCGAAGCATCGCGGAGTGGTGAGAGGCTCAATCTGATAAACCGGGACA